AAAAACTATTACATATTTCTGCAAACCCTATTTTAATGGCTGAAAAGTTCATTTTTAATCTGGTAAACGAGGGGATTTGTTCACTTAACGCAAGAAATTTATTTTCTGTAAAGTGTATTTTTGTGAGGAATTACCAGGAAAAATTATGAAAACAATTTACAGAAACTACGTTCTTGCGGGAAGGACTCGAGTATAAAAAATACTCAGTACTTGAAGAAAGTTACGAATATTTACTCGTAGTTACTTGTATCAGAACAACACTAGGTGTATCCATTCCATTCCCTCCTCTATCACATTTTCTTGGAAACTGTTAAAAGCGTATTTATTTTATTTTAACTAATATTTGAGGCTAAAATTTTGAGCGTATGGTTACTTACAAAATATCACTGAAATTGCTGTGGAAGGGTTAAAAATTTATTACAAGTTTTTTCTTTTTATTCAAGAGAAACTTATAAGAATCAGAACTTTATAAACTTTGGGAACAAAACAAATTGGTATTTTTCAGTTGAAACCGAACCGGACTTTTGGGGTCGGTCGTTCTTACAAGTTTACTTCTTAGCTTTTTCAGATCTATGGAACATGTTCTGCACTTCGTTTCTAGGAAGGATACTGAAACGAGGTAAAATTTCATTTAAGACCATCACTCGTGCTTCTTATTCTGAGCTGAAAAATTTTCAACGGTAGAGCTAGGTAAGAATGCGAGTGCCATGAGCTTTACGGAAGGAAAACAAAATTCATGGTTAGAATCTATTCTACTTAATATACATAAATACTTTACTTGAATCTCTTCAGACATTAACTAATTTCCTCAACAATTACTTAGTAAAATCTTGCTAAAGATGAGTTAATGCGAACAAAAAAAATCATTTTCTGCAACCATAAAATCTCTCCGTAACGCATTTTTTAAGCAAATTTCAGTTTAAATTTAGCAAAAAAAAATCTAAAAACTTTGGGACCGCATTAAAAATGCAAATGCCATGGTGCAACTTCAGTTCCATCCAAGTGATGCCCACGCATGCGTGGTCATGTCAAGGCAAATATTCACAAAAAGCATGCAAAGACGACATTTCTCATCATAAATAAATGAGTAAATTATGACATTATTAGGCTGGCATTGCCTCCGGTCGGCATCAAAGCGGTGACCTCCGAGTGAGTTCGTAGACCAAAGGCAAAGAAGTGTCGCAAAATTGCCTTGTTACGGCGCTCATTAGAGGAACTGCCAGGCTGCACAATATTGTAGAAAAGTATGTACATTAGGGTGGTCCAAAAATGTATGTGGGAAAAAAGCAAATACGGAATTTTTAAATAGAAAATCTTTAATATTAAAAAATGGTTAAATAAATAATTGGGTATTATTGTTGGAAGTCTCCCGAAGGGAACCAGAGTTTTCCGAACGAAAAATATTGATTTTCTAGAATTCGGTACCATTTGTACGAAAAGTGGTTTTTTCCCCGTATAAAATACATGGAAAACTTTGAGCGATCTCTAAATATCGTTTGACTTTAAAATAAACAAATAGAGGTATATAAAATTCGAACTTTATTGGTGTTGGCGCCACCCTAATGTACATACAGACATATGTATATGCTATTTGTGTGGGGATGTAAAGTTTATGATTGTAATACGTCGAAATAATTACAGCCGCACGACATTTTTACATATTGGGCCATATGCATAAAATCTAAGCAAAGGCTTATTTTTTTAATTTCAGACCTTTTACTCGATTTGTTCAAATAAATTTAAGTGAAAGGTATGAAGTTTTAAGTAAAAGGAATTGCTAAGTTTTTTGCATACGGTCCATTATTTGTGTTGCTATTTAATCTTGGTTATTTTTTTTGTAAAAATATAAAGTAAAAGTAAATTAAGTAAAAGCAATTGCTTAGTTTTTATGCATACGTTCCATTATTTTCGTTGCTAATTAATCTTGGTTATTTTTTTTTTTTTGTAAAAATATATTCCATTCTTTAACAAAACCCGTATAAATTCAAGTTTCCAGCTTTGTGCAATATTAAAAAAAAAAATCAACAATCTTTCGTAAAAATGTCCAGCTTTTTTAATTACATTTCTTAGAAGTACTCTGAGTATGCAGTTTTGTAGGCCATTGAATTCTGGTATAACAAAGTACAATTTTCAAATGGCTAAAAATTACTGTTGAATTTTTAAAATTTTTGTTTTCCTCATTTCCATATAACGAATTTATTTTTTACTTTGTTGCTAAAAATTAAACATTCATCTAATCGCATTGCGAATAAATTATAACGTCATTTGCACGTTTGCAATTTGGCGCTTCGCAAAACTACTACCAGTCTGGCACGCATAGTATGTATGTATGTATGCGGTTACGAACTTCGACACACACACACGCACGCGTGAAAAGATTACGATACGCGATTTTGAGGTTAACATAGGTTTAATTAAATTCAACACGTAAGGTCTCCAGATGCATGCCATTGATAAAAATATTGCCGGCCATTTAATGTTATGGAGGTATTCACAGTGAAGAGAAAGAAACCATGAAGAAATATTAAAAATTAGCTAAAACGATTAAAAATTCGTTATTCCCGACCGTCTCGTCTATTGTTTTCATATTTTATCTACCTGAAAACCAAGTTTGGCATTAAGTTTCGTTCATAACTGCTTACATTTATTTACAATATTAAGGCCGACTTTCAGATGGGCTATTTAAGTAGAGCTTGTTGATTAACTTCAAAAATTAATATTCAGATTAAATAGTATTTAAACTGCACTTAGATGACCAATATTGGATAATTAAATGTGGGGTATGTAACCCTGTGTATGTACCAAACAACAATCAGCTGTCCAGCAGAAAATGTAAATAAACAAATACAACCACAATTTTGTTTGGCATCTATATCCATATCTATCTTCTATTCTCTTATATAAAATAGATTATATGGAAATTGTTTGTAACGGCATAATTCTCAAGAACTTTTATTTAGAACTAAGCATTTGTAAAAATAAACCGAGTGACATAATTATTATATAAAAGCTCAAACAGACGGCAGCGTTAATCCGGAAAAGCAACTTTTCGTAGAAATAGTATACAATTCTTGAAAATCAACATTTTTCGATCGGCAAACTTTGCTTATCTTCAGATGGTTCCCAGTACTAAAACCCAATTGTTTCTTTAACCATTTTTCCATTGTAGCTATATTTCATAGGTCATCCAAAACCCCCAGAAAATGCAATGGGTGGACCAATAAAAAATCTTTAATATCAAAAAACGGTTAAACAAAGAAATGGATTTTAATAATCAATTTTCCTGAAGATGACCACAGCTTTCCGATCGAAAAATATTGATTTTCAAGAATTGTATACCATTTCTACGAAAAGTAGTTTTTTCCCTATATAAAGACAGACCTTTACATATTTTTTAATTACCTTCGAAAAGATATTAACTAACACCCACACTCAAAAAAATAAAATAAACAATGCATCATATATCGAAATTTTATTTTTAAATTTTACGTCACAAATCGCTTTAAATATATTTTATAAATGAGGCCATAAGAGTTTCGGGAGATAGTTACAACACAAAAATACATTTAAGGCGCAGCGAAGCACGCCGGGTAAGTGATCTGAAACCTAACGAAAGTTAAAAGGCATTTAAATAGAAATCCAAAAATAAGCTTAAATTTAAATTTGCATCTGAAATTGACCCTTAAGGGAATCACAATCTGGTGCATATGGTATTGCATTTGCATATTATTGTGTATTTGCAAATTTATGCTTGCTGACCAGAAGGACTTATCTGCCCTTGGGATGAACAACTGTCTCAAATCTAGGAATAAAACGATACTAGTAAACACAAGTACATACTGGCAAGTAATTTTGGTGCTTGTTTTATTTCCTTCCGTTTATATTCAATTAAAGGCAAATTCACTAAATCCAAAAGTGGCACAGAAAAATTGGTAAGCTCACCAAAAATTCAAGATCTTTTTATTTGCAACGGAACCTTCTGCAAAAGTCTTGAAGGAAATGTTTTGAAAAGTTTTTTTTCTTCCCCTGTAAATTTTCTACAAATGAACTTGGCAACTTTTCTACTCTAAAAATTATCAGCGTGATTACTACTTGCAGAAATATGTATACCATTGTTACCCTGCAAAACTGCTGTTGAACAGTGTTATAATACAGATGACTTTTATTAAGTAATTCATTTTTATGAAATAATTTATAAAACAATTATTTTTGATCTCAATCGCTTTCCCTTTGTACCAAATAATTATAAAGTATAACAAATAAAATACGTACATACAAAAGAAGCAAATTCTTTTAACAATATTCTGGGGGCTTTTTAAAAAACAACTTATTGAACATTCTTACATAGCTACCAATATCGATACAAGTAGGTATCGATACTTTCAGCCCGATACTTATTAGGTATCAATACCTTCGTTCGAAGCTACTTCAAAGTGCAGGTATCGATACTTCTATGGTATCGTTTTATCCCTACTCAAACCCGCAAAGGAGCACTTATACTCTTGCTAAGTGTTTGGCGAAGTTTCTGCTCAAATTTGTGGTATGCGTGTTGATGTTGTTACAGAAATGAGGAGACCTAAAGTCTTACGCCGCCTCCGAAGTGCATTTTATGAGGGGTTTTTTTCATGGCAGAAATGCACTCGGGAGTTTGGCATTGCCTGCCGAGGGGCAACCATTTAGTGCGCACCTCTAACCACTCAGCCACGACGGAGTGGGTGTTGAGATTTTTCGCATTTTTGTCGTTATTTGAAGAAGTAGACCTGTCCAAGAAAATCCGTTACGATTTCGGAATCAGGGCCAGATTTTTTTTTATAAATTTCGTTTTTGCGAAATTCGTTTAGTTTGATCAAAATTTGTAGAAGTCACCGTGGGTGATTACCACAACCTGGTAGACCCATTTTCAGTGCTCAGAAAGGATCAATTTTAAACATGACTTTAAGTATAGTATAAAAAATGCATTTACATATGTATGTACGTATATATTTTCTTTTAATTTTCAGTTGTTACCTATCCCTGAAATCAATTGTAACTAGGAGTCGCTCAAGTTCCACTCTCTTGCCAACAATATAATGCATCGTTATCCTTGTGAGGGTTCAACAACGCACCGATAGCATGACCCGGGACGGAGAGATACCCGCCATCTTTAACCCGAAACGGGTACGCGCACCATCCGTCGTCGTGACCGGTGACTCTCCGAATGGTCCGTATGGGGGCTTTAGTAATGCGCTCAACGCAAGCAATCCACAAATCGCCCACCAAGACTCAATTTCTTCGAGTCAACAAGATCCTAGTGAGGTTATAACAATACATCCAGACACACGGGATGCTACGACACCAGTCGGTACGCATCAAGGTTTGCGGCGTGCACTCGGCGCTGGTGGTGGGAGTTTTGTTGGTAGTTGTGGCATAAGTGGCGTAGGTGGTCTTACTGGTGGTATAAATGAACCGGATACACCGACAATGGAGGCAGGACCAGATGTCACTGAAGTACGTTTCCGTCGACTGAAAGCTTGTAGGGAGACGTGTTGTTCGGAACTTGCGAGAAAGGTGAGAGAATGTTTTTTTTTTTTTTTTGAATGGGTAACTATGTCTATGTACTATCGATCATTTCTCGTACAGATGTATTTTGGTGTTTGCGTCACCATACTCGTCACCGCTTCATGGGTTGGCGCAACGCATTGCATCAAATTTCTTTACCTAAATCGCAGCACCTACGCCAGTATTACTACAGAGGACTTCGACAGCACATCAAATCGCGCCATTGAATTGGATTTGGTCACAAATATTGACGATGATGATCCCAAACATCTGCTAGGTATCAGTGATAATTCATTAAGCGCCTCTGAGGTGGAGGAGGCTAAAAAATTTCTGCAAGTCGCACCACCAACACTACCAGAGACAACCGTATTTCGCGCGCCTTTCTTCGCAGCATGGTTCTTCACGAATTTTTCATTTCTATTTTTCCCCATTTATGTGCTGGGGCGCGTATCATTGCGCAAGTGCGACAAGCCAGGCGAAATTTTGGGTGATGTTTTGCGAGGTTTCCGCGATCGTGGCTTCACAATCGGTAAGTAGACTATGTCAATTACATTTGTCCTTGTATGTATATTAGGGCGGTCCAAAAAAAAAGTCAAGTCAGAATTTTAATGCTCTTTGTTCTGTACCGAAAAAATATACCCCTAGGTTTTTATTAAATCAAAAAATATTTAGAAGACCCTAAAAGCGCTCAAAGTTCTCCATGTATTTTATATAAAAAACGGCTTTTCGAAGAAATGGCATCGAATTGTTGATTTAACCATTTTTTTTACTAGCGATTTTTTATTGCATTTTCAGGGGTTTTTGGTGCACCTATAAAATATAGGGGTTGTTCACACTTGCCTCGTTATCAGGTTATGCGGTTATATTTTTTCTTCAGTTTATAACAATCAGATACACCACACAATAATAATTTTTAACCAGATAAACTGATAACCAGGCAAGTGTGAACAACCTCATATTTAATTACTATGAAAAAATTGTTAAATAAATACTATTTCTACGAAAAGTTTTTTTCCACATATAAAATACATGGAAAATTTTTAACGTTTTGAGCGACCTCCAAATATTTTTTGATTTCAAAATAAAAAATACGGGTGATCTATTTTTCGGTATAGAAGAGTCCTGGGGGCTGAGAGCATTAAAATTCTGACTTTACTTTTTCACTTGCTATTTTGGACCCCCCTAATGTACATACTAATACATAAATTTATGCTTTTAAAATTCAGTCAAATCTCTAATCGCTCCTTATTTTTGTAATGAATTCACGACTTCTCATTCGCCATCAGGTCGTTTTCTAAATCGCTGCCTCTCCTTCTGCATCCTCTGGCTGGTGACCACCTACCTATATACCATGTCTCTGCGCGTACTTTTCGCCACCGATGCCATGGCGCTATTCGCAACCAATGTCGCTTGTGTCTATCTGCTTTCATGGGTCATTCTTCATGAACAATTTGTCGGTGTACGGGTATGTGTATTCGTAACAAAACGGGACATCGCATTAAATTGTTACAAAAATAAATTCAATTAAGTGCTTTTTAATCCTATCTAGATTGTTGCGGTCATTTTATGCGACACCGGCATTGCGCTGCTTGCATACATGGATGGCATTACGGAAAGTCGCACGCTGAGCGGTGTTGTGCTGGCAACGCTGGGCGCTGCCGGTTACGCAGTCTTTAGGGTGAGTGTTACTGTAACTATTTCCGTTTGAGCGTGTAAGTTTAGCTAATGCAGCGAAAGAGTTTAACTTGCGCATTTTTGCTTTTGTTTTGTTTTTTGTTTTATTGTTTTTTTTTTAGGTTATGTTCCGCAAAGTGATGGGCGATCCACCGATTGGCCAGATTGCATTTGCCTTTACTACGCTTGGATTTCTCAATGCGCTACTGCTGTGGCCCGTTTGCGTGGGACTCTACTTGGCTGGCTATGAGAGTATGCCGTCAGATCGTATGCCATGGATTATTTTACTAATTGCCAGTATATTGTTATTGGGTAATTAAATTAAAATGTTGAAAACATGACATTTAATCATTGAAATTATGTATTTGTATTCCAGTTTTTCACATATTAATGCAATTCAGCGCAGCGGTCACTTATAATATGTTTGTAACGCTCGGTTTGATAACAGCAGTACCAGTTTCAGGAGGTAAGTTGCGTTGGGGGTATCTATTAGGAACATAATTGTATTGGTTTTTTTTTTTGCTACAATATACATATGTAATTCTAAAGAGTAGTTGTACATTAATTAGCAATGCGAAATTGCTTTGAGATTTTAGTACAAATGTTGCTGTAATTTATTTGCAATTTAAACGATTCGGTACTACATACTAAAAATGCCTCTGAACCACTTTCAAAAATTTACTGGTTTCGGTGGACCCCCTGCTGCAACATTTCTACCATATTCCCAAAACTCCACAAAAAATTTGAAGATTAGAGAGCCAACGATGGAATATGCAAGTTTTTTTTTTACAAGAGAGGGGGGCTTAATCCAAAACGTGAATATACAAAGCATTAGTGTCTTTTATTTCTAAACCTCAGTAGATTGTAATGCCAAATGTGCGCAACCACGGTTATATGATAGTTTTCAACTAGGTTGCGCTAGTTAGACTTTTTCGTCTAGTGCGGTTAAGAAATAAAAGGGACTGCTGCTGCCTTGCATCTTGACGTTTTAGAATGCACCCCTCTCTCTCGCTCTGAGGAGTTATGATTTTTAAGAGCACTCCAATTTCCAAAACTCAGAACGCTGCACAGTGTGGCGACTAGAAGAAGCTAGTTGGATACAATTATTTTATTAGTGCTTTAGATAGATAAGGTCGAAATTAAAAAGAAAATTCTAATAGCTGGATCGGAAATACCTCGTTGACCCAAAAAGAGTATTTTTATTTTTTGTGGCATACGTTTTAAAATATTACAGCTATAGGCCAAATGAATATTTTTTAGAAAGAGAATTCAAAGAGTATTTTTATACTTTATTCTAAAATATCTTACGTATTAAAGAAACAAACTTTTTTCTGGGTTTAAAATTTAAAAACGAAAAAAACTTTTCAATTGCTTTCAAAAATAAAAAAAGTTTTGCATGAAAAGTAACGGTTTTAGTTCATAAAATAGTATGTAAATACATACATACATATTTACGTACATATGTACATAATACATAGTTTTCACTTGTCTTTTTTACGCTCTTGTCTTTTATGTGCTCGCTACACCCCTAGTGATATATTTACTGTATTATACATATGTATGTAGAGATTTTCCAGATTTGAAACCACACAAGCTCTACCCAGATTTGCAGCGGACGACGGTAAAGCGGTCGACGGTTAAAAGCGTAAGCAGACGGCAGCGTTGATCCAGATCAACTCGGGAATTAACTGCTGTTGATCCGGATTAAGTCCGAGTTAATCCAGATCAACGCTGCCGTCTGTTTAAGCTTTAACCGCTGTCAAAATAAGAACTCGCAACGGCCTATGGATTAGCTCATAATTGCGGCGGCAGCGTTTTTACTGCCGACGTTTTTTGGTTGATTTAAAATTATTTCTATATATGTTGATTGTAGTACTTTTTATTATTTTCACAAGTTTGGCAATGTTTTCATACATTTTTATTTCCAAAGAATCTACATACATACCCGCACGTACTGAAAACATATTTATTTATTTTTAAATCAAAATGTCAACTGACGGAAGCCG